CCCTGTACTCTTTCTGAAGCTCAGTGAGCCCTTAAAGATGTTTTGTTAGGGACAAAAGAAGAATATGAATGATTACAACCTTCCCCCCCATAAGCTTTAACTTGCTTGCAGAGCTGATGCAAGCCACATCCAGCGAGGACTCTGAGCAGCATACATGACCTTCCTAGTGCCAACCATTTCTAAAAGCTTCCACTTAAAAGGTCTTTAAACTACCCTGCAATATTACAACGTATTCCTCGTATGTTGCAAATGAGGACTGGTTCTAATAAGCAGGCAGGGAAGCCAAGGTGGGATCAACGCAGGCGCCGGGCCCCAGCTCCAGAGGGTCAGGGGCCACCCTGCCCAGCATCTCATCCCCTAATGCCCAACAGACACACCAACATGAGGGAATCACCTGCAACCCCACGGAGACCCAGCTGAGGAATGAAAAAACAGGCTTAAAAGCTCAAGAAATATATGCTATCAACACTAATAATATTACAAAGCTTTAAGAAGCAAATGACAGTAAGCTGCCCTTCACATGCCACAGAAAACATGAGAAAGTTTCTCAATCACAGAAACTGTGTTAAAACCCATTGATTTTTACTACAATTTATTTAGAACCTTCTGTAGTGCTTTGGCTTTTTCCAGTTTCCAATGCTTCATTTAGCTGTCTTCAATAATTCCTTACATTTTTCAGCTATCACTAGATGTTCTGCCAGTGTGGACTTTTAGGAAATTCTCATTCATTCATGAAATGAAACAAAACCAAATACTCAGAACAGGAACTTTTCTGCTATTCATAGATCTGCTCCTATCTATGAAGCCATCGTTTCCTGCTGTAAAATATACTCAACCCTCTTCCTATGCTCTAAAAATAGCAACCTACTCAATTTGATATCTATAGCAGCATGTGGCCGAGATCATCATATATCGTTTTACTTCTTGCTCCTCTTCAGAGTTTGCTTTGTCTCCTCTTTAATACTCACTACAAAAGTAAATATATTATGCTCACAATTCCTTATATGAACAACTTTTGCTTCTGTAGATCCTTCTGTTGGAAGGAGAAAATAAGTGAAGTGAGAAGACCTTAAATATGTTGAGAAACTTCAAGATTATCAATGTGATAAATACACTGTAAGGGACAGAAAAGCATCCCACCTCTGCTCCCTGTCTTGATCACTACAGTAGAAACCTTTAATCAGGCAGCCAAAGGTTAACTCGAAGCAGGAAATAAAAAAGCAAGGCAGTATGAAAGGGGAAGAAGAAAGAAGGAAGAGTACAGAAGTAGACATATGGATGTCTGGGGAGAAGGGTGATTAAATTTCCCATAAATCTCACATACCAAGAGGTAAGATATTTTGCCTAAATTCCCAGGAGGAACACAATTCAGTCACATATCTGAGACTTGAAAGGACAACCATCTCCATATATATTAAGGCTGCCATGAAGGACAAGAGTTGGAGTTGCATGTGATGGCATGGATTTCCCTTGGCACACTAAAAGCTTTCAGTGCTGTGTCCGCCTGTAACTGATGGGTGAATTTTAGGTAGATAAATTTGAATTGCCTGAGCTGGAACTTTGGCCAGGACAGGAACATTAATCCTCACTTATCTGCTGATAGAAAAGAACAAAAAAGCAATCTTCACCAGCTCCTCTGCCCTTCAACAGTTACCTTTCAGGTAATTGAGTTATATGAAGAAATAAAGCCTGCTGTGGTGCTAAGATGCAATACAGGAGAACAACTTTTTTCTTCATACAGAAATATCAGGGAAAAAACATGCGAGTTGACTGCACTCCTGCTTTATATTGTATCCAACGGGCCAGAGCTTTGAACAAAAGCCAGTCTGAAAACTGCACAAGTACTGATTGTCACCCATGGCAAGTTAGACTTCAAAGGGTAAAGCCCAGAAGAAAACTGCTCCTCTGTAGTATCACGTACTGCACAATTAAATGCTGTATGGTTACAGTCTTCCTCACCTTGCCAGGCCACCTCACCTCCCAGCAGCACACTGATGGCTTCCCTTTGGCATGCAGGAGAACAGAAAAGGACAGGAAAAGCGATGCGACTGTGCCAGCTCTGTCATTTGCTTCTGCTTATTTGCTGGGCAGCAGCAAAACCCAAGTACTTCTGAAATGACTGAGTCAATTATTTCCCAGTTTTACATTATTCACTCTTCCTACTCCGTGGGTCTTTAGAACTGGGTGTTGAGAAATCGGAAGTCCCCTCAAGTTCTCAAACCTTCTTCTTCCCTAGAGAATTTCTATAAGTAATTAGTCATCCCCACAGACATTTCCCAACAAGCTGCACTGACAGCATCTATTAAACCAGAGAAAACCCCCTAACCTCTGCTACCGCTGAAGAATTTCTGGGCAATTACTCAGGGTGTGAGGAGGTTTTTGCCTGGCAGAGTCAGCTCAAACAGTTTCCTCCGCTCGCCACCCCCTTCTTTGTACCGGCGCTGCTGCCCTGGGAAGGCAGCATGAGTCAGATTACAGAGCAGGGTGGAGGGGGGGCCGCTCTGAAAACACTGGAACATTTCTTTCCAGCTCAGATATTTCCAGCGATGCAGTTCCCAGAGCCACCCCCCACACAGCTCCTCAAGAGAGGAGCTGCAGGCACCCCACCTTCTCCCTCCAGCGCAAACCACCCGCACGTGCAAAACGTGAAACGGTTTTCCATCGGCTCATCCCACCGGAGCCTAACGGTGTTATGTAGTAAGGAAGGGCTGGATTTGCGCAGGGAAAACAGGGAGAGCAAGCGGCTGGGGCAAGGCGGCACAGGACCATCCTCAGCAGCAGCCTGTGTCTCCAGCAGGTTGGTACAACACTGAGGGGACCAATCTAGGACCTCCCTAAATTGATCTTACCATACTACGCTATGGCACTGAACTCCAGCAGCAGCTCCCACACTTACTTTACCATCGGAGAAGTCAATGCTCACCGGCAAAAAACCTCTCCCCAGTAAAGCCGAGTGACACACACACACACATACAAAGCATTAAATCCTTAACCAAGGTTTATTATTTCATCCCTACCACTGATCTTTAATTTCAGAGGTGACGCTCCCCACTGGGCTGTGATTTTCATTATCACTGCCTGTCCTTGAGCTCTTCGTGCACAGTGCATTCCTTTGGTGACAGAAGGGTATCAGCTCTATCACCAATCATGGAGATAGGAAAAACCCCACACCACCCACACTGCACACTTCCACCTGTACAAAGTCCAGTACTAGCCAGCTCGTGGCTCATCACTCAGCAGGAGGCACCCACAGATCCACCTCTCTCCCACAGCTGAGAGCAATGCTCTGACAACACTCAATAAGCCAATGAGGATTTTTTTGCCATTACAGCTGAGTGGAAAGTCAGCAGCAAAGAGGAGGAACACAGACATATCAATGAATTATTCAAGCCAGACTTATTGTCACAGTTGCTAATTTGGAGGCTTAAGCTTCAGCAGCTCACAGCAGAGGTACCTGCACAAAGCGCAGCCAGGACTGTCCCCTCCTGGGACAGTCAAGATGCTGAGATGTCCAGGCTGGAAGATGGAAACAAAACCGGCACATAACCCTACTGGGATGCACTGGGGCTTGCCCATCACCAGTCTGGGCACAAGAGGAGCTCCCAGCCACTATCACAGTGCAGACACTGAGCCCTTACAAGTCAAACAGGAAGGGGGAAAACACACACACAAAACCTCAGCACAGGGAGGTCTGCAGTTATCTTTGGGGGGAATGCTATTCAGCAGGCGAACAACGGGAATGCCTACCAGGCAAAGAGAGCAAGGCAAGACAGGCAGATGTTTAATTCTGAAACTTGAAAGGACTTGCACACTATTTAACATGACAGGCAGCGAGTCATGCACAGCCATCCATGGGGTGAAGGCCACAGTGCCACAACAGCACACACCACTCAAAGCCAGCACCAGTGCCACCCTCCTCTCATCACCTGGCTGTGCCTCCCTTTTGTGCCCCGTCAGTCAGGGCTGACACTTCCTTTGATCACTCTGCACACCCCGTCAGTGCTAGCCCATAGGAGAGGTGGTCACGGTGTCCTCTGACCCATGCACGTGCTACCAGAAAACAGGCTTTTCCACATTCACAAACTCCTCCATCACAACAGGGCGCAGCTTAGCAAACACCAATGGGGGTGACAATCATCAGCCTCAGCAGGTCTGTGTGCGTGCAGGCCCCCACTGGTGCCAGGGGTCTAGGAGCAGAACTGTGGCACACCAGACTGGGACTCATCCAGATTAAAAAACGTAAGAACCAAAAAAACCCCAACCAAAAGCAGCAAACAACCACCTCCCCACACACACCTTTTTCATAGAATCCCAGCCTGGTTTGGGTTGGAAGGGACCTTCAAGCTCATCCACTTCCAGCCCCTGCCACCTTCCACTAGAGGTGTGTGGTTTCCCCACACACATAGGAGGCTGGGACTCCTTCAGCAGGAGCTGTTGTCAGTAGTTCAAAGTACACCCTCAGACTCCTCACGGATTAGGCAGAACTTATGATGTGAAAAATCTCCATGTTTAAACCTAATAAATGTTCAGGTTTAACTATAGTAAAAAGTCAAAGACAAGAGAATGAACCAATTTAAGGACAACTCTCTGGAATAAACCTAAACATCTGCATGTCTCAGAACTACTTCCATCAGATCTAAGGAGTAAGCACCAAGTTGTGCCTATGAATACCTGAAATATGACTACTACCTTATTGGCATTAGCCTATTTAAGACCACCTAGACCCATTAACTCTGCTTGCTCACCCCTGTGAGAATATAACATACTTCCTTTATCCAGGCCTGTAGCTCACCCAATATCAAAATTCAGTTTTTCAGTGCAGTACCAGTGGTCTCTGACAAGCCAACACAAGCAGAAGACAGGGCAGGTATGTGGGAGTCAAGGAGTTAAACAGCACACAAAGGAATAAACTCACTTCGGCTCTGATTAAGCAGGGCACTCATAAAAACAGAGGTCAACATCAGAAAATATTTTGTGAGTCATGAGGAGAGATTACTCACCATGCACTATTCAACTTACTCATCACAGTGTGCTACGGACAGAACTGCTCACCATGTATTCATTAGGAAACCGTGGCCTTTCCTTTGAGACAGGGAGAAGGCGGGGGAAAGAGTCATACTTTCAGTTTTGTATGTAAGCCAGTGGGAGGCTGGATCTGCAACACCAATGCTCTCTCCTCCCACGGCCCTAATTAGACTCGTAGGGAAATACATGTTTCACATCAGCCTCCCAGGCTCTTTTAGCATCCCAACAAGCAGCAGTTTGTCAGCACAGCTATTATGCGAACTCAGCAGTCTGAAGAGACCCCACTTTTCCTATTATACCTGAAATAAGCAGCAGTCCTGCAATAAATAATGTTATTAATCCAGGCACCCATTAATACAAGACATTAGACCCACAGCCTTTTATGCAGCAATATGACCGCTGCTAATTTAAGATGTAGTAAGAGCATAAAAATAGCCAAGTTACTCAATGCAGGGTTACATCACACGGAGGTGCTCATCAGTCAGCAGCCTACAACCCCACTCAGCCTCTGATGCTGGGAGAGATAATTCCCAGCTATCCCTGGCACCCACACCAAAAATAATTAGCCAGACTGTGAGCTTCCCCTCCCCTTGCTCTCCAGCTCTCTCTGGAAAACAAATCTCATAGCAAACAACAGGAAGCAGCAAGAATAAATAAATAAATGCAAAATAGAACTACTTGAAGTGTATTTCCCTCTCCCCCACCTGGTATCCCACCTTGCTTCTTCGGAAGCCAGAAGCAGACGGAGTGGTGAAACTAAGAAATGTTCCGCTTACGTCAAACAGAGCTGAGCTCTAAAACCACAACGGTACATAGAGCCTGCTGCCAGCTCAAGGCTGAGCCAAGGAGGGAAAGAAACTCTTCAGTTAAGGGAGCACAATGTCAGGAGGCCAAATGCCGCCGTGCACCAAGAGGAGGAGGATCTGTTCCTAACACTGCAAGCAGCACACGTGTATATATATGTGTGTGTGTGTGTGTGTGTATGCATGCCCGTGCACGCAAGCGCACGCTTCTCTAGTGTGCAGCATGATCTTTCCCCCAAACCTGCCAGGATGGAATATTGATCCACTCCAGATGAACCATCCCCTCCCGTGGAAAAACTCACAGCACGGAGAGGAGGTTTCCTGGCAGGATGTTCGGGTTGTGGGGGGTATTTCTTCACACACACAGGCAGCACGTGTGGATAAGCACCCCTGCCCGCTGCATTTCTCAGGGAAGGCAATCTATGTAGTCTGCCATCTTCAGAACCGGCTGCTCAAGTTTCCCCAGAATTAACTCAATCCTCATTTCCCATGCTGCAAACAGCATTAAAATGCACATTTGAAGGAGGGGCGGAGGTTGGTTTGGTTCAGGTTATTTTTTTTCAGCCTGTAGGAAGTTTTATGAATATAAATAAACCCATTCCTTCCAGATGAATCCCTCACCTATGTAATCTTTCACCTATACCCCACACAACCTGCTCGGAGACACCACGTTACTATTCGGCCCCATGAAGTCAAACTGAACCGGCCATCGTTATACTTTCAGTTTCTGTCAATTTAAGCGGAGCGCGCGCCCGGGAACTCACACACACGAATGACAGAGCTGCCCAAACAGGAAAGGCTGCGTTAACCAGTGCTGTCGGAGGCTCCATCGGGAGCAGCCGATGAAAATAGCACACCAGCGTCCATGGAGGATGTTTTGGAAACCACGGATACAGCAACAGCACCAAGAGGCAGGCAGCAGATACAAACACGCAGCCATCTCCCCTGCCACAAGCCATAGATTCGTAATCAGCCGCATACAAGCGCGTTCCGGCTGCCAAGCGTGTTCCAAGATCAGCAGTATCGGCTGCCCCAGCCTGTGCGTCCCAGCACATTCTCCCCGTGAAGCAGCACACGTACGAGAGAGCAAAGCCTGGAACACAACAATCAGCAGCACGCAGGCCAAGTGCAATACAGACACAGAGCGGTTCTCCCCTTTACAAACTGTTCTCAGTGGTGCTACACGCAGTCGGGGTGAAAAACTGGTCAAGGATTGGCACGAACCCTACACGCACACAAACCCAAGCCTCTCAAGCCTTTCACCTCCGTGAGATGGTCACTAATCCGAACACGGACATCGTTATCAAGGTCACACATCTCCCCCCCAGGGCTCAGGAGAGGCAGGGGAAAGTCAGGCAAGTTAGGAAAAACCCCAGCGGCTCCGTCGCTAAAAGAGGGACAAGTGACATTTTATTTGGAAGCGTGAGGATTACGGCTGACTGGAATTCTGTTCGGCATGAATACAAGAGGAGCTGCAAGGGCACTCGCTGGAGGGAGGCGTTAAGCAGCAGCACCGACCCCTCCAACACGCACCAAAGGCAGAGCCCTGCTCCCGTACCCGCAATTAACGCTGCCACGCGGGGGACTGGGTCCGGGGGTCCCCCGAGCACCCCGAGGCACCGGTAATTCTGTCCGCCAGCCACAGAGCCCTGCGCTTTCCGGCAGCTCTCGGTTATTACCCGGTTACAGGAGCCGAGCTCAGGGAAACACGAAAACTTTTCATTAAGCAGTCCTCCTCCTCCCCGCCCTTAAGTTTAGTCAACCAATTATAAAAAGAAATTGGGGATTTGACTTGCAGGCGAGCGGCAGCTCCGCGGGCCGGCAGCCCCGCAGCCCCTCACCCTCCGGCCCGCGGCTGCTCCCGCCTGGGAAGCGCTACCGGATAAATAACGCGGCTCCCTCCCTCCCTCCCTCCCGCTCGCTCGCAGGAAGGATTAACGCATGGCCCGGCCGGTGACAGGGAGCGCTCGGGGAGCCGCCGGGCAAGGAGAACGGGCCGGGGCCGGGCCCCCCGCGGGTGTCCGGGCCCGGGGAGCGGGCGGCGCTGACAGGGGCGCGGGGCAGGTGCCGCCGGCGGGGCCATACTCACGTAGACGGGCAACGGCCAGGGGTAGACGGCGGGCTCGGCTCCCACGGGCGACTTCAGCCGGAGCTCCAGCCTCTCGCCCATGTCGGCAGCCGGAGGAGAAGGAGGAGGCGGCGACGGCCCCGCACCATGCTAGAGGGGCCGGCCGGGGTGGGGTGTGGCGGCCGGGCCCGGCCGGGGGCGTGTGCGGGGAGCGGCGGTGGGGAGGGGAGGGGGGAGGCAGGGCCGGTGCCGGTGCGGGCGGGGGCTCGCGCTGCCCTCGCCTCCCTCTATTGTCGTTGGCGGCTCGCGGGGCTCCCCGGCGCCGCCGCCATCTTGGGCCGGCGTGAGGCGAAGCACAATGAAGGCGCCGGGGCCGGGCCGGGCCCGACGGACGCGACAGACGCGGGGAGGGGAAGGGGGGGGGTGCGGGGGGCGCGGCCTCGCGCTCCCTCCCCCCTGTCCTCAGCTGCCCTCCCCGCGCGCGCCGGGTGCGGGGTACGGCGGCGGGGGGGGGGGATGGGGGAGCGCGGGACCGCGCGGGTGAACGGCGCGCACGGCCCCGGGGACAGCGCGCGTGACCCGTGTGCGCGTGCGAGGCCCCGCGTGCGCGTGTGCAAGGCCCCGTGCGACAGCGCGCGTGATCCGTGTGTGCGTGTGCAAGGCCCCGTGTGACAGCGCACGTGATCCGTGTGTGCGTGTGCAAGGCCCCGTGTGACAGCGCACGTGATCCGTGTGTGCGTGTGCAAGGCCCCGTGTGACAGCGCGCGTGATCCGTGTGTGCGTGTGCAAGGCCCCGTGTGACAGCGCACGTGATCCGTGTGTGCGTGTGCAAGGCCCCGTGTGACAGCGCACGTGACCCGTGTGTGCGTGTGCAAGGCCCCGTGCGACAGCGCGCGTGATCCGTGTGTGCGTGTGCAAGGCCCCGTGTGACAGCGCACATGACCCGTGTGTGCGTGTGCAAGGCCCCGTGTGACAGCGCACGTGACCCGTGTGTGCGTGTGCAAGGCCCCGTGTGTGTGCACGGCCCTGTGTGTGCGTGTGCGAGGCCCCGTGTGTGCGTGCAAGGCCCCGTGTGACAGCGCACGTGACCCGTGTGTGTGTGCAAGTCCCTGTGTGTGTGCAAGGCCCCATGTGACAGTGCACGGGACCCATGTGCATGTGCAAGGCCCCGTGTGTGTGCACAGCCCTGTCTGTGCGTGTGCAAGGCCCCGTGTGACAGCGCGTGTGACCCGTGTGCGCGTGCAAGGCCCCGCATGTGCGTGCAAGGCCCCGTGTGACAGCGCACGGGACCCAAGTGTGTGTGCAAGACCCTGTGTGACAGCGCACAGCACCCGTGTGTGCGTGTGCAAGGCCCCATGTGACAGCGCACGGGACCCATGTGCGTGTGCAAGGTCCCATGCGACAGCGCACAACACCCGTGTGTGTATGTGCAAGGCCCCGTGTGACAGCGTGCGTGACCCGTGTGTGCATGCACGGCCCCATGTGTGCATGTGCAAGGCCCTGTGTGTGTGTGCACAGCCCCTATGTGTGCATGTGCAAGGCCCCGTGTGACAGCGTGTGTGACCCATGTGTGCATGCACGGCCCCGTGTGACAGCACACGGCCCCATGTGACAGCGCACAGCACCCGTGTGTGCGTGCGAGGCCCCTGTGTGATGGCTCCAGGCTGGTGCACAGCACCCGTGTGCGCGTGCAAGGCCCCTGTGTGATGGCTCCAGGCTGGTGCACAGCACCCGTGTGCGCGTGCAAGGCCCCGTGTGACAGCGCACAGCACCCGTGTGCGCGTGCAAGGCCCCTGTGTGATGGCTCCAGGCTGGTGCACAGCGCTCGGGTGCCTGTGCAAGGCCGGAGCCTGTGCGTGGCAGCGCAGCGTGCGCGCAGTTCACCAGCGCAATGGAACGAGCTCACGTGGCTGCTGGTGCGAGGTGTGCACGCAGGTGACAGTGTGGGCTGTGCACCGTGCCACCAGGTCACAGGGAAGGCGCTTGTGTTGCACGTGGGTCGCATGGCATTCCCGTGGGTTCCCAGTACACACGAGTGTGCCCGGCTCCACACGACTCCAAGGAGGAGCTTTCCTGGGATGGGGCATCCTGAATCCGTGGCCTTGCACTGGGGAGCATCCCTGCGTGTGCCCCCATGCACCACCCATCAGTGCACGTCCTGCCCTGGTGCAAGAGGAGCAGCGGCGGGCAGGGAGTCCTTGGGTGGCAGCTGCACCCTACACCCATGGTGTAACCTGGTAGGAGCACTACGTGCTGCAGCTCATGGTGGTGGGGTGGGTGCGCTGAGCAGGAGCTGTGGCACCATCCTGCACCTCTGCACTGTGCTGAATGGCAGCGCTTTGCATCTCTGTAGGTGCCAAGTAGTGGTCCAGGGGCAATCGATTCTGTTTTGCATGGCTTTAGGTGCCCAGCTGGGAGCCCAGTGATAAAATCAGGCCAGAGCTTGTTCCCTTGGTGCTAATTCCACTTAACTGGGGACATGGGGTTCAGGGACACCTGGGTGCCCTGCCTACCTGCCCTGGGGTGCAGGCACTGCCACCCTCCTGCTGCTCAAGGAGCCCTGGAGCACTGGCCCCGTGTCCCGATGCATGGTGGGGCCCCAGCCCTAGCGGGGCTTCCCAAAACGAGCTATGGCTTGCAAGCTGCAGTGGGTGATGCGGGAGTCCCACCCACTGTGGACACAGGGGTCACCTTTCCCCACGCTGCACCTTGGCAAAGGGACAGTGAGTGCACCCCAACACGCAGCGATGGCTCAGCACGTACCCACAGAGCACCAGGGACTCCTGTGGGGTGCACGTGTGTGATCCCCCCTGAGAAATACCTGTCCCAAAGGCAGGGCCGTGACAAAGGTGGGTGCGGGACCCACGGAGTTGTGGTCATCGCATCACAGAATCATGGAATGGTTTGGGTTGGAAGGGACCTTAAAGCTCCTCCAGCTCCAACCCCTGCCACGGGCAGGGACCCCTTCCACTGGAGCAGCTTGCTCCAAGCCCCTGTGTCCAACCTGCCCTTGAACACTGCCAGGGATGGG